GACCATAGGTGACGTGTCCTTGGTGGTCTCTGGCCCCCCCTCTCTCTCGCCCTACCTTCGTTCCCCACCCTTCCTTACAATTCTTCTATTACCTTCCCTCTATTTCCCCCTCAACCTTCCCCTATCCTCCACCCCCTCTCCCTATCACCCTCCACCCACCCCTATCACCCTCCACCCTCCCTATCCCCCTCCACCCACCCCTATCACCCTCCACCCTTCCCTATCCCCCTCCACACACACCCCCACCCACCCCCTACCAACTTCCACCGCCCATTAACCCCCTCTCCCCTGCCAGGTGGAGGCGACGCGTACATGGCGGTCTCTGGCCCTCCCCTCTCTCTCCCCTCCCCTCCCCCCCTACCTTCTTTCCCATCATTCCCCTCAATTCCTACCCACCTCCACCACCTTCTAACCCCCTCTCCCCCCAGGTGGAGCGACGCGTACATGGCGGTCTCTGGCCCTCCCGCCTCAATTCTCCTACCCACCTCCACCACCCCTTACACCCCTCCGCCGCCAACTAACCCCCTCTCCCCCTCCCCCGCCAGGTGGAGACCATAGGCGACGCGTACATGGTGGTCTCTGCCCCCCCTCCTCTCTCCCCTCCACCTCCCCCCTACCTTCATTCCCCAACACTCCCCTCAATTCTCCTACCCACCTCCACCCACCCCTCACACCCCTCCGCCGCCAACTAACCCCCTCTCCCCCTCTCCCCCCCCCAGGTGGAGACCATAGGCGACGCGTACATGGTGGTGTCCGGTCTCCCCATCTGCAACGGCGACAGGCACGCCGGGGAGATCGCGTCCATGGCGCTCAAGCTCCTCGACGCCGCCAGGACCTTCACCATCAGGCACCGCCCTTCGGATACGCTCAAGCTGAGGATCGGGATTCATTCGGGTCAGTTCGAGGGTTCGAGGGTCGGAACTCGGATGCGAACTAGCTGAGGGTCGGGATTCATTCGGGTCAGTTCGAAGGGTTCGGAACTCGGATGCGAACTAGCTGAGGGTCGGGATTCATTCGGGTCAGTTCGAGGGTTCGAGGGTTTGGGGGCTTGGGGGTTCGGAACTCGGATGCGAACTAGCTGAGGGTCGGGATTCATTCGGGTCAGTTCGAGGGTTCGAGGGTTCGCGGGTTTGGGGGTTCGGAACTCGGATGCGAACTAGCTGAGGGTCGGATTCATTCGGTCAGTTCGAGGGTTCGAGGTTCGCGGGTTTGGGGGTTCGGAACTCGGATTCAGGCTGAGGATCGGGATTCATTCGGGTCAGTTCGAGGTTCGAGCTTCGCGGGTTTGGGGGTTCGGAACTCGGATGCGAACTAGCTGAGGTCGGATTCATTCGGGTCAGTTCGAGGGTTCGCGGGTTTGGGGGTTCGGAACTCGGATGCGAACTAGCTGAGGGTCGGGATGGGTTCGGATGGGGTTTGGGGTTCGAGGGTTCGAAATTCGGATACGATCTAGTTGGGGATCGGGATTCATTCGCGAAAGTTTGGGTCATAGTTACCGCCATTACCGCAAACCATCCGTAGCTTTAGATTATTAATTATATATATATATATATATATATATATATATTATATATATATATATATATATATATATATATATATATATATATATATATAAACCATAACAGTGTCTACATTTCATTTGAATTTTCAAGTATTACGCTCTTGTATAAATTCTTGTCCAGATATACAGATAATAGCTGATTATTAATAATCAACGCCGAAATCATGAATCTAGCGTTGCATTCGTGTCCATTGCGGTAATGGTCGTAGCCCTGGTTTGGGGTTCGAAATCCGGATACGCTCTAGCCGAGGATCGGGATTCATGCGGGTGAGTCTGCGGCTTGGTGTTCGAAATTTGGGTCCATGTTAGACGGGTGTTGTCTTGGAGGAATTTTTTTGTTTCTTTCTTTCTTTCTTCCTTTTTTAAAAGATTAATTGCTTTTTATAAGAATGGCTGATTGATGATAATGCAGTGGTTGACGGACAATAATGCAGAGATGTTTCACATTGAATGTTATTCAGCTGGGTTGATTTTGATAAGGACGGCTGATAGATTTCATGCAGTGCTTAATTATTGATACTATATAATTGTTTCAGGTTGAGTTTTATCGAGCTGGCCCAATCTTTTATAAGAGTGTTTAATTAATTTCATGCAATGGTTGATTAATGATAAAGTGTTTTGTTCAGGTGGATTAATTAGGTTAAGGCTGCTTAATTAATTTAGAAGTGTCTGTGATCGGTATCTGTTCCCGTGACGTTTGCACTTCGGGGTTTTCCCTTTGTGGCGTCCGGATTCATTCGCTGGAAGCCGAGGTGTTAAGTGACAATTTTATTCTTAGTACTTGTGTCATTAGCTGATCGCTGGCTGCTGTTTTCCTTTTTGGCGGATGATGTTAAGTTGTGGTTATTATTTGTTTAATATATCATTTATTTATCAATTGTTTGTTAATTCATTTGTTGATTCATTCACTTATTTACTCATCTATTATTATTTCTTGTTTATTCATTTACTAAGTCACTGCGCCTCACTCACCTTCCCTTCTCACTTACCCTTCAAAAAGCCACCCACCTCCCATCAAAAAGTTCACCTCACCCAGTCTTCCCTTCAAAAGTCACCTCACCTCCCCACCTCCCCTTCAAAGCTTGCCCCACCTCACCCACCTTCCCTTCAGATAGTCACCTCACCCTACCACCCCTTCAAAAGGCCATCACACCCCCATCTCATCTTACCTGTCCCTTCAAAGCCACCTCACCTCAACCACCTCCTCTTCAAAGCTTGCTTACCTTCAAAAAGTAACCGCACCCCCTCCCACGTCCCCCCACCAGGACCCTGTGTGGCTGGCGTCGTCGGCCTCACGATGCCGAGATACTGCCTCTTCGGCGACACGGTGAACACGGCCTCGAGGATGGAGTCCACGGGGGAGCAGCTGAGGATCCACATTTCCAACGCGAATAAACTGATGCTGGATAAGATTGGCGGATATCTGGTCGAGAAGCGGGGGCTCACCTACGTCAAGGTGGGTGGGATGGCGGTGTCTGTTGGAGGGTTGGCCTGTAGGGCGCGGTTTGCGAGATGAGTGACACAGGGGGGGGGATAGTAGTACTGATGAGAATAATGATGATATTAATGATAATGATGGTAAATAGAGTGATAATAATGATAATGATTATGATTTTAGTAGTAATAGTAGTAGTAATAACAACAATAATACTGAAAATTATAATAATAGTATTAATACTAGAGGTAGTAATTATAATAATGATAATGATAAGATCAGTAACCTAACGGCGATGTCCCCGCGCAGGGCAAGGGCCAGATGATGACGTGGTGGCTGGTGGGGGTCCAGCGGCCGGACGAGAGGGACCCCGACGCCCTCGGAGACAGCCAGGCCACACCGACACGCACGCCCGTCGACGAGTCCCATCCGAGTACCGCCCACACGCCCACCTCCAGCGCCCAGCCCTCGTCTCTTGCTCAAAGTGCTGCCGTCTCGTCCGCGTCTCCCTCCGGCCATTGTCTCGTGGGCTACGGCATCCCCCCGCCTGCCGCCGCCCCCTCGCCCTCGCGCCACGACACTCTCGCTTCTCCCGGCGCCACTCGCGGCCTGGCAAGCGGCTCGCCCGGCTTCGCTCACGCCGGACTCACGAACTCATCCTCCTTCACTCACGACGTCGAGGTGACTCACAACCCAACCCTAAATCAGAGACCCGAACTCACAAACTCACCCTCTTTTACTCGCGACATCGAAGTGGGTCACAATCCAGCCATCACTCAGAAGACCGAAGCCAGAAACTCACCCTCCTTCACTCACGACGTCGAGGTGACTCACACCCCAGCGCTCGTCCACTGCTCCCCGCGCCCTCGCACGCCCTCGCACGCCACGCAGGGCTCCCCCGTGGGGCCTCCCCCGGCGCCGAGGCCCAGGGACACGGAGAGGGACCCGGCGCTCGCTCCCGACGCCCTCGCCGGCGGGGGCGGGAGCAGGTGAGCCATGCTTGCTTGTCGCGTTCTGATATATATATATATATATATATATATATATATATATATATATATATATATATATATATATATATTTTTTTTTTTTTTTTTTTTTTTTTTTTTTTTCTTTTTTTTTTTTTTTTTTCTTTTCTTTTTTTTTTTTTTCTTTTTTTCTTTTTTCTTTTCTCTTTTTTTCTGGTTAATTGGATTTCATTGTGATCTAGCGATATTTGAGGCACAGCAAATGTGCATAGATGTGTTCCTACATACATACATATGAATAGGCATACTTACATACACACGAATATACATACATACAAACACAAACACATACATACATACATGCATGCATACATATATACATACATGCATACATATATACATGCATACATTCATGCATACAAATATACATACATACATGCATATATACATGCTTACATGGGTACATGCATATATAGATACATACATATACATACATACATACGTACATACATGCAATACATATATACATGCGTACATGCATATATAGATACATACATATAATATACATACACATACATACATATATACATACATACATACATACATACATATATACATACATACATACATACATACATACATACATACATACATACATACATACATACATATATACAGCATACATACATGCATACATATATACATACATACATCATATACACATGCTTACATGCGTACATGCATATATAGATACATATACATACATACATACATATAAATACATACATACATGCATACATATATTCATACATACAATATACATGCGTACATGCTTATATAGATACATACATATATATACACTCATACATACATATACATACAAACGTACATACAAAGTCATTCAAAGTACTTACATAAAATAAACACATTTGCAAATATACAGCCTACGTACTGTATATACATACACACATACAGTTGAGCGCAATGTACATTACCTATATCCATACACAAAAAAGTTGGCATATACAGCTAT